TAGCCATTTTTATTTCCTTTGTGAATTGGTATTTAGGTCTTGTGTTTATTTTTATATGAACTCTTAAAATATTTTAGGAAGCAGTTGGCATTTTTTCAGAGAATCATTTGTCACCCTTAAACAAATAAATCTCTGTGACAACTCATTCTTGAGCAAACTCGTCACCCATAGGATTGAAAGAAATGTCCCAATTGCTGTTTATTGCCTACAACTCAGTCCTTTCAACTTTTGATGTGGAAGCAAGATTTTATGTTCTGCCTCAATAACATTCTCTGAAGTATGACAATCTTTGCGGGGTTGCTGGTGATGTAGGCTTCTTGTCCCTAAGTTTTAATGGCTTTAAAGAGTGACTAAATCTCTTTGAGGTGATTCCCAAGTCTCCATGGTGAATTGCACAAGGCAGTGATGCTAGGTTTCAAGTTAGAGCATCACAAACGTATCAAAATTTAGTAAGTCTAAATTTGGGCTTTGTCAATTGTGGCTACAGTAATGATAATTATAGTTAATTCCATTAGTTGTAATTGTGACTTACTTTACCTAGTTTGTATGTATGGATACATCTGTACAGAAAGGGTTTTTATCCTTTTTTATAGTTAGAGCTACTGAATTTTTATATTTTCTTCCTTTGTATTTACCCTTAGAAAGTCTTTCTCAAAACAATTGTGTCATATTCATTGTGGAAACCCCAGAAAGTCTCTGTGCTTTCCTGATGAATATACACGAACCATTGTTCCCGTGATGAAAAGACTCTCACCTAAAACCAGTGAGAAAAAACATTTCGAAAACCTTTCCTGGATGAAAGAATGAAATCAGTGTCTGCCTGACAGGAGCGTCAGTATTTTCACAGCTTCATGTAATTTGTGAGTCTGCCTGATATCTTGGTTCAGAATAATCTGATTCTAATAACAGTAATCCAGTGCTGAATGGTAGCAGTATTCCCATAAGGAACTGTTCATCTCTCTCTGCAGCAGAGTTGATAGGTTATCCTCTTGGACCATTTCCACATGTGTGCAAGTCAGTGTAATTACGTGGTTGGAGTGTGGCTTTAATAGGCTCTTTCTGACTTCATTCATTATGAGGATAATCTTGTCTTGCCCATAATATTTTATACATCTTCCTTTAATGCTAGAAATACAACTTTTTCACATGGTCTCTCCCGGTTTTCTAATGAAAGATGACTATGGCACTTTTGTTCTATAACTGTAGAAAGTAAAAGTCACAAATACATTTCACCAGACACCTCAGTTACAAAACTGCCTCGCCTACCAGGTTTTCTTTTTCGCACAGATAGCTTTTTTCTAAACCATGTTGCCTTCTTTAGAAACGTTCTTGCATCCTCCTAACAATGCTGAAAAGGTCTCCTCTGTAGACCCAGTTCTGGCAGATCTTGAAGAGATTTACTCAGTTCCGATCTGCCACTGCCTTCTCGAAGCACTCAGGATATAGCCACGCACAATTTGCTGTGGGAGTTGGACATGCCGAGGCTGACAAGCTCCTGTTAAAACCTAAACCTTTTCTTCTGATCTTAAAACAAATATATTCCAAGTCTTCTCTTATTCATGAGTTGAATTGCTTTTTTGAGTGACTGTTACCGTACTTGTCTTTAGACGCTTCCTGTACGGTGTGAATTTGTTTGGAATGTGCAACAATATAGAAAGTCTAGAAGTCATTCTCCCAGTCTAATCTTATATCCACAGAAATTCTGTAGAAACAAATTAACATGCTTATAATGTTCAATATAACTTATTCTCAAATATATATATGTGAACAAGGATATGTTTTGTGTTGTAACCTTACTGATTCATTTTTTTCCCATGTTTAAAAATCTTAGAACATGAAAAAAAAAATACATGCAAGACCCTTCCTATACCTTATGTTATAATAGTCTTTCATTACTTCGAGCTGCGCTTAGAGTCAGAACCATCTCATATGGACCACAAAATATTTTCAGTTAACTTAGGCCTGTCTGTGGTCAAATGTTGGCTAACCATCTTAATTCCTTGTATCTGCGATATATCCTATGTAAGAAATGGGCTGGCCAAGAACAAAATCACCCAACCGAACAATGGCAAGGGAGTGTTATTCAAAGGAGACTTCAGAAGAAAATCTTTAGGGTTGTTAACTGGGGCCCCCAAAGCATTACTAGTTGGGATTGGCACCACATAACTTACTGCCAAAGAAATAATCATACAATTTGAAAAAATTATTGTCTATAAATAAGTTTTCAGAAGCATTTTTAACTTTTTTTGGCCTGGGTACCAACTATTTTATGCAAGTATTAAGTAACGTCCCTATTATACAATATCCTACCAGCCAGCAACCCCCCAAATCCTTTGAGATTGACAGTTACATCAGAATAATGTAGTGAGTAAATGACATGAAGTTGGCCATCTTCAAGTAAGAGTTTCCAGCCATTTTCATAGGTTTTCGGTTAGTGAAATATGTACACACAGAACTTTTAACAATGTAATTTATCTGAACTGAAAAGGTGAGGGTGAAAAGCTTTCTTTGGATGTCAGACTCAGTATATTTTTATTTTAGCACAATGCATTTAAATATCTAGTCATGTTAGCTTTAGTTTTCCATTTATTTAATTTCAATTGGATTTTAAAAGATATCTAGGTTTTATATACATTAAGCATAAACCAAACGAATTTTTAAAGTGTAGTCAGATGATTTTTTTTTTTTTTTTCAGTTTTTGGCCAGGGTTGGGTTTGAACCTGCTACCTCCGGCATATGGGGCTGGTGCCTTACTCCTTTGAGCCACAGGGGCCGCCCCTGATTTTTTTTTTTTTTTTAAACTAAGGACCTTTTTGTTGTTCAGAGAAAATACAAAAACTTCTTCATAAAGAATTATGTAATGGAAGCTCGTAAAATATGCTATTATAAGTATTTCATCTTTCTGCCCGTGTGAGGTGTGTCTCATCATTAGAGATAATGTTACTAAATAGTTGTAACTGTACAGCTGCTCTGATTAATGATGGCTTAGACTAGGGTTTCATTGGGTAGGATTAACTATGTCTTAAGATGGCCAAATGCCATTATAACATTAATGCCAGAATTTAATGAAAGCCAGAAGTTAACTTCAAGGACTTTTATAATTTAATATGGGGACATGAACACGTTCTCATTGTTTTAACGTAGTGTCCTATTAAAAATAAATTCCCTTTTCTCTGTTTTCTTGTGACTTAAATTTTTGCTTAGCAAACATTTATGGCCTGTTAAGTAAGTGCCAATCACTGTGCTAGAGTCTTGAAGAGTGAGGCTGTTTTCCATCCTCAAAACAGAGCCTTTTTGATCAGAAAGAATAGAAATGAGAAACGCCTCTCATGGTCTCCCCTCGTGTTGTAGGACTCCAGTTTCCTAAGGCATGTATCTCCTTAATTGTTGGTCTGTTTCCTTTTCATTTTTTACATCAGTCACCTTCTTCCTTGTCTGGATTGAAAAGCTACATCCCTGTAGTAAAAGGCCTGGGCTATTGAGTTTCATAGGTGTGGGAAGGATAAAGGGCCTGAAACTGAAGGTCCTATTTATAGCACTCACTGCTGCAGTGTCTAGTGGCTGTGCCCTCCAGGAAGAGAAAAATTCTGCAGGGCCATAAGATATTGTAAAATTGGAAGTAGGGAAGGTAGGAGAGGAAGAATTCTTTCTTGTTTTTGAAAAATCTTCCTGTAAAGGAGGTATACAGGGTTCACTGATTTCCTGTAAAATGCAGGAGACCTCTAAAAGAATCCTATGATTCCTATGTGTTTAGAGCCTAAAGAAGGCAAAAAACTAAAAGAAAATGCCTGTTTTTTTTTTTTTCCCTCAAAATCTTTATATTTACATAAAGGTTATATATATATATATGTGTGTGTATATATATAAATGTTATAACAGGAAGATTAGTCTGTTTTAGACAGCATGTCCAAGAAGTGTGTGTGTGAATACGTGTGTACACACACAAATAAGGCATAACTTTTTGTAAAATGCAGGAGACTCTAAACCATCCCATGATTCCTATGTGTTTAGAACTCAAAGAAGGCAATGGACCAAAAACAAACACCTTATGTCCCTTATTTTTTCCCTCAAAATCTTTATATATGCACACATGTATATATATACACACACACACACGTTTGCAAAGAAATGTTGAGATTTTACAAAGTAAGACTATAAACCCTAACACGAGAAGTTAGAAATAAAATACAGCATAGGAAGAGAAACTGTTTCCAAAAGTCCTGGTGGAGGAAAACCTCAACTATGTAGCTTGGTGGCTGGGCTTCCTAGTGGCTAAAGCAAAGAGGAGAACTTGGATCACGTGGTGTGATTTTTCTGGTAGTAAGACACATACCGTGGTTCATCAGAACCAACAACCGTTCTTCTTGTTCTCCATTAATAATAAGAACAGCTTGTCCAGGGGATTTGGATAAGAAGCTGTAAGGCATGTCATGAATGATGTCCTTATGAATTTTTATAGGAAACAAAAAAATAACACACACATGTCATTTTGTATATTGGCATTTGGAGAAAATGAAGGGAAAAATGTGAAAAGCATGACCCTTTCCCCCCACGGGCTAGGGAGAGGGAGTTTGAGACTTCTGGTCTATTTACTGTAGATAGGTGCTTATTTTCTTTTGAGCCACTGACATGTGGAGCGATAGAAAGACGTAAAGATGTCTAGTAAAGGGTAGCATTGTTCAAAGTAGGAGGGGATAAATAGCATTTTTGTGGCAGCATGATATTTGAAAGACTGATCAGGCCACTGGGAGGTTTTTAAATATGCCAGTTCCCTGTAACAGGAAGATCAGTCTCTGTTTTAGACAGCATATCCAATTTAGTAAATTATTATTATTCCGTCAAAATTAATGTGAACAATTTTCTCTTTGAGGCTGCTTTTTCCATAGGTGATGTTTTCCAGATGGGCTTGGTGCAAACTCTCAATGTTTTGTGTTTTCTTTCCTAGAGAAGGAGGCTTTTCTGACATCTCTTCAATTCTGTCTCTCTTTCCCCTATTGTAGGGAAGAGAACACCCAAGGCAAAAGAGAAGCGGAACAAGAAGAAGAAGAGGAAGCTGATAGAAAGAGCCCAGGAGCAACATAGTGTCTTCTTAGCTACAGACAGAGCTAACCAGTAAAATGAAAGACACACGTGGTGGATTGGGGGGGGGGTTGTTTTTGCAAAAGTGCACAGAGCTGCTCTCTACTCCTTCACAGTGGCGCAGCGTTGCTGCTGCTCTGACTGGTATCTGTTCTCAGTAACGTGGCAAAGGAAGAGCCCCACGTGCAGCCTCTGTTATTTATGCTTTCATTAGGATCTGGAGCCCGGGAGGGCAGGAGTTAGGTGCTCAGTCTGTGACTGGGCTCGGTGTGTGCTGAGAGAATCCGCCCCTGGCTCTGCCCGGCCGCAGAGGTGTGAGTCCGCAGCCCGCCCCTGGAGCACGGACATGCGCCTATTTATGGAAAGAAGATGCTCTCTCGGCAGGCACAGTGCTGTTCACTTGTGACCTTTATTTCTCACAGTGCGCGTTTTCAAGGATACACGTTTGTGAATACCTGCTTAGTGTTACCACATGGTGTTCTCGGCATCTGTTACCTCCACACTGTTGTGTGATGAAACTGCTTTTAGCTGGGGACCTGCTCCGGACATCCCTGCTCGGGGTCACAGCGGCCCTACCGTGTACATATTCTGCTCGGGCCCCATAGCAAGCTCTTCTTTACTGTGTATTTATGCTTTCTTGTGATTAACATGTCACTTTGTTTCTAGTGGTTCCTAACCATTGTCTGATAAATGTTCTAGTTTTGCAAACTGACAAAATTGACAAATGTTTTGTTGCCTCTTGAAACTTTTTTGGGGGGTGGGGGGTTTATTTCTCATTGTAAGAGTAGGATAAGCTAGTTTTTGTATATAGAGTCAATTGACCAGTGTCAAAGAGTTTGAACATCGACCGACAGACCTTCCCCCACCCCCCAACCCCCGTCCCACACACAGATAAAGCAGCATCTGACAGTCAGACGATAAAATTCCCTTTGAGTCTAAGATGTGATGCTTTAAGAAATGCAACCAAAACCGCGAAGAATTAATTACATGCAGTCACTTGTCGTACTCATCATGCTGGCTACAGAATTTTACAAACTTATTTCTGATTTCAAATTTAAAAAAAAATTTTTTTTTTAATGACAGAGAACCTGGTAATATTCTTGGGTGACTGAAGGAGTAACCATCACGAGTCTATGTGTAGAATTTGGTGAGAAAACAAGGTGAATTCCTACAACTGCTAGTCAGATCGTAACAGGTTTCCACTGAGCCAGAATCTGTGTCATATCCAACACGGAGAGGAACACTGTGGAGACTTCCCAGGGGACTTTCAGAGCAGTTGTTTCAAACACATCACTGTCCACTTGAGGGAACCAGTTTTTAGAGGGTTGTGATTTGGCTTTTCTTAAAAGCATCATCGTCTTCCTGGTTGATGCAGGAGAAAATGACAACAAAAAAAGAAATGCTTGCAGATTTCTGAGGAAACCACCAAAGCAAGGTGAAGCCTTTTTCTGAAACTTGCATTGGCAAAAACTACCTCTTCAGCATTTTTGTTTAACTTTTGAGTCAAAAAAAAAAAAAATAAGGAAGCATCTACCAGTAAGGATATGTGTCATACACGTCATTATGGACATCTTATTGCTATAAGCCATATATGAATGTTGTCCACAGCTTCAGGGTCGGCCTTGAATCCTGAAGTGTTCACCTCCTTTCTTGCCTATTTACACTATATTCCCATTTGCTAAGCGGGGAAGGCTCTCCTTTATAGAACGCTTTATCGTTAGGAAGTCAATACCTGTTTGGTTTCTGGTTGTTCTTTTTGTGCATTAAAAACTTCAAAATTATGTTTTGTGGAGATCTCTTTTTACTTTAGAGATATGTGTTTTAATGACTCTACCACTGAATGATATGGCTCTTAAAAAACCAAAAAAGACAATCTTTTAAAAGTCTATGGTGATAACTATATCTATAACATTAACTGGTTAATCTAGAAATTAAACTATGTAGTGTAGTGGTTAAGAATGCAGACTTTACCCCTAGACTGCCTGGGTTCCCATCTAGACTTAGAGTAACCTGGGACAATTTAATCTCTCCAAGTCTGTTTCCTTATCTGTGAAATGGGGAACACAGTATTACCTGCCTGTACGGCTATGTTTTAATGACTAAATAAAAAAAAAATATATATAGGGTTTTAAAAATTGGGCAGAATGTACAAAATGCAGTCAGTACAGTACAGTATATACTTAGTACTGCATAAATTGTTACCTATTATCACATCCGTCACTGGATTTTTTCCAGATATTTTAATCTCTCCTCAACAAAATAGAATATATTTATGAAAGTATCAGTACCCTTCAATCTGTTGCTCGCTGCCTTGACACTATTTGCTAAAACTTGTATTTTTATGGGAAAGGGATTGATTTATATTTACTTGACTTATGAGTCTCTGTTATATGCAATATATATCCAGATACACACAAAACTGACTTCATTGCTATACCATAATTAGGGTGTAGTCAGGGAAATAAACCAGCTGAGCTATTTTGAACAGACACTTTAACACCAGGAGTTCAGATGTTTAAGGAGATGAGAAGTCAAAATAGGTTGACAAGAGGGCTAAGAAGAAGAGGTGGAGTTTCTAGAACCCTGAAGTCAAGGATACCCAGCTAGTGCTAAAACTATAGCTGAGAAGGAGCTGGAACTGAGGACAGCTTGGAAAGTATCTGGTTACTAAGAGAAATGTTTCCTTAGATAAAGTAAATGGAGGAGTGCCCTGGCTTCACCCTACCTCCAGCCTCCAGTCTTCAACCTTTGCCTGTCATTGCCCAAACCTGCCCAGAAGCCAATGGGCAAAGAAGTCTGGGCCATGTAGTTCTGGGATGGGGAGGAGCGCAAGGGATGGGCAGAGTAGATCCAAGAGCTAACAAGTAATCAGAATAATCTACATCTGCCTCCAACTATTCTCCTTCCTGCCTTTTCTGTTAAATCTTGACCTAGCTGGTTACAGGAAGACTCCTAGTTATCACTTCACTTCCACTATTCCCCAGCAGAGGTGCCCAACTGGTGGCTGCATGCTGATTTTGTGAGGACTTCTTTTACTTATCTGTTTTGTCCTATATCACAAAAATTATGCACAGAATTTATTTTTATCTTTTTTTTTTGCTAATCAGTTTTCATTATTTGTGTATTTAATGTATAGCCCAATGACCAGCAGAAGAAAGATTGAACACCCGAGGTGGAAATTCTAATGAGTCTACCTTGGAAATGTCTCTTGAATGTCTCTCTCACTTTTCACTTTCTTTGTCAGAGGCCTGGTCCTCTTTGTCTCTTTTGGAGTGTTCCATTTTTCCTAAATATGCTTACCCCCAGCTTCACTCCAATCAATTCTTCATATTTCTACCATTTTTCTATTACCTTTTTCTGCTATTGTTTAAATACTTCATCATAGAATAAGATCTTAAAAATGTTTACATAGAATACAGTGCCCTCTTAATGTCCTCTTCACCTGTATATCTTATGGGAATCAACAAAAGACTAAATGAGCTGACATGATTGTTATTGTAAGATCGTTTCTGAGGGTTCATTTACGGCAAACCTGGACATGCTCACTGTATCATTTGATGTCCCTTGAGTCACAGAGAGGGAAATGTAAGGGCAAACATGGCTTTCAAAGTAGAAGGTATGTATGTTAAATCCAAGAGGTTCAACAGTCTGAAAAACATATGAGGAATCAAGGTTTAGACAGTTTCCCATGTTAATTTATGATGAATCATTACCTCAAACTGCCGTGTGCTGCCTCCTCCGGTTCAGGCAGACATTGCTAATTACACCCTCTTGGTCTCTGAAGTGCATGGGGGTGGGGTGGGGGTGGGGGTGTAGATGATCTTTTTGCTTCCCAGGTTCAAGTTAATGACCTTCTAGAGAGTGATAGTTGTGGTCACCCAGAAACACTCTTTGGAGCATTCCTTGCGATATTTTTCAAAGCTTTCCACTAATGTACCCTTAAAGGCAGAGGAAAGTGAATTTTTAACTCTGAAATTATAACCTGAAGCAGCCTATTTTAATATGAAAATTCACGCAAATATTCTATTCAGTAAAATGGCTATTTATTTTTAAATGCAAAATTATCCCTTTAAACATTACATATCCCCCCACCCCCCATCTCCCCAAAAAACCTTTGAGCAAGATCACATTCACAAAGACATTCCATGTTTATCTGGTCGTGACTTTCACACACTCCTTGGCACATAGTCACCCCTGGAAAATGTCTTTCTCTGCTTAAGGCACTGAATAGTAGTGTTGTCTAATGGTTCTGCCAACTGATTCCCCCCTGGGGCTTTATACCCTCGTGTCAATGGCATGCTCTCTGGGTGGACATTGAACTTAATTTGATGCTTTTCTGCTGCCTCCCTTTCTTCTTGCTGGTTATGTCTCAGCCACAAGTTGCCTCCTCTACATCTGTTTCTGAGAAGAAGGGTCAGCAAACTTTTCTGTCAAAGGCCAGAGAGTAAATATTTCAGGCTCTGTTGGGAGCATCGTGTCTGTCACTACTACACAATTCCTTAATTGTGTCCCCCCATTTGCTGTTGTAACACAGAAGCAACCATATTTATCATGTGAACAAATGGGCATGACTATGTTATAATAAAACTTTACTTACAGGCACTTAAATGTGAACTTCATCATTTTCATGTGCCATGATACATTCTTCTTTTGATTTTTTTCCCCAGGCATTTAAAGAGTATAAAATTGTTAGCTTACCAGCCATACAAAGATAGATGGTGGTCTGGATTTATTGATCTCTGATATAAAAGATCACTCATTGGTTAAATGTACTATTTGTGAGAGGCTACCTCCAACTCTGTTTGAGCTATTAACACATGACTTCTGGTAGGAGTCCAGTAAGTGAGCTGAACATACAGAGGGTGCCAAAAAAATGCATACACATTTCAAGAAAAAAAAAACCTATTAAAATGGTAATACTTATATCACGTTTGACTTCTGCAATTACAAGAGGTGCTCAAATGTGACTTGTATTTATCTTTTGTTATTGGTATAATAACATAGCAAACTGTCATTATATAATTTTAATACTTTTTT